TATTAAACTCGAAGTATATTCAGTGTGGCTCTCTTCATTAACCACTAAAGTTACGTTCAGGTCTTGCTCCCGCCGATCAGGACCATCACAATCAACTCCACGCACTTGTAGGTCCACCTGATCAAATAACTGTTCACTCACCCGATCGATGTAGTCTCTTTGTTTACATGTTTGTTTGCAATCGATATAAGTTTTGATTTCGCTGCTTCAACCCTCTCAGGATCGCCCTGAAACACTATCGTATTCTGCTTTCTGCAATACCAAACGAAGCCAAACTGCTGATCAGGTTCGACTGATTTGAGCGTAAATTTTTTGGCGTTGCCACCCGGTGATGACCATCTACCGTCGATGCGAAGCGAAGATTCTGTAAACAATTTCAAGTCCTCCAGAGAGCCCAACCACTTTAATTTCCCCTCATCAGCGACTAAATACTCCACCAGTCCATACGAATCAACATTTGGGGACGAAAGAAAGCCCTCAACAAAGATTTCAATCTTTTTAAGAGCTTGACTAACAGCGTTCTCCGCCATATTGCGACTCCTATGCAACGTCATAAACACGATCAACTTTGGTGTGTATGACGTCAAGATTTGACGTCATAAACACGACCAACTTTGGTGTTTATGACGTCGATAATCGACGCCATAAACACGATCAACTTAGATGTTTATGACGTCGATATTCGACGTCATAAACACGATCAACTTTGGTGTTGATGACGTCGATATTCGACGTCATAAACACGACCAACTTAGGTGTTCATGACGTCGACGTTATAAACACGATCAACTTTGGTGTTTATGACGTCAAGATTTGACGTCATAAACACGACCAACTTTGGTGTTTATGACGTCGATAATCGACGCCATAAACACGATCAACTTAGATGTTTATGACGTCGATATTCGACGTCATAAACACGATCAACTTTGGTGTTGATGACGTCGATATTCGACGTCATAAACACGACCAACTTAGGTGTTCATGACGTCGACGTTATAAACACGATCAACTTTGGTGTTTATGACGTCAAGATTTGACGTCATAAACACGACCAACTTTGGTGTTTATGACGTCGATAATCGACGCCATAAACACGATCAACTTAGATGTTTATGACGTCGATATTCGACGTCATAAACACGATCAACTTTGGTGTTGATGACGTCGATATTCGACGTCATAAACACGACCAACTTAGGTGTTCATGACGTCGACGTTATAAACACGATCAACTTTGGTGTTTATGACGTCAAGATTTGACGTCATAAACACGACCAACTTTGGTGTTTATGACGTCGATAATCGACGCCATAAACACGATCAACTTAGATGTTTATGACGTCGATATTCGACGTCATAAACACGATCAACTTTGGTGTTGATGACGTCGATATTCGACGTCATAAACACGACCAACTTAGGTGTTCATGACGTCGACGTTATAAACACGATCAACTTTGGTGTTTATGACGTCAAGATTTGACGTCATAAACACGACCAACTTTGGTGTTTATGACGTCGATAATCGACGCCATAAACACGATCAACTTAGATGTTTATGACGTCGATATTCGACGTCATAAACACGATCAACATTGGTGGTTATGACGTCAACATTCGACGTCATAAACACGATCAACTTGGGTGTTCATGACGTCGATATTCGACGTCATAAACACGATCAACTTTGGTGTTTATGACGTCGAATATCGACGTCATAAGCAAGATTAA